CTTACTTCAGCTCCGCTATCAATAAGAAAGTGCACATTTGATTTTCGGTCACGAACGAATAAACGAAATTTGAGACAATCCTTCATATTTTCTGTAGAAGCGTTTGCCGCTGAACCTACTGCAGATTCGAGTTTTTCTGGTTTTGGAATCGTTGTTTACCGAAGCACATGGAGGCCGGCATTTCTCTGGAATACATTTTGCTCCAAATCGAAAGTGATAGAAACAAAATTTGCCAGTAGAATCATATCGTTTACGAGATCGTGAATAACGTAAATCCGAGTCCCTGCATCTTGAGCGAATGGTTATTTGATAAATTTTTTGTTCAAGAGAGGTAATTCTTTGCAACAAATCATTTACAGGAACGGAAGTGGCATTAGCACTAACTACTTCTGGTTTCTGATTCATATAACTAATTTTATCTGCCATAGACGCTAACTTGGTTACATCTTCATCACTAACTAATAATATATTTTTTATTGAGTCAGGTAGCTTCTCCAGCCATAAAGAAGTTTTGATTAGATTTTCAGACACATCTGTAGTAGCAACTGATTTCAACTTCTGCAAAAGTTGGCTTGGTTTCATGTCTCCAAGCTCGATACCAGTAATCAAACGTTTAATTCGTGCATTTACACTTTCTTTGAATAAATTTAATAACCTAATTTTAGCATCTGAATATTTTGTGGCACTATCGTTCGTTACAATGTCCCAAATATTTTCGATGAACTTAGGTTCAAGCTGTGAAACTAAATAATTAAATTCTGATTTCTTCTGAAACGATATTACTAATTCTGAACTGAGCTTCAACTTGAAAAAACCATATTTCTGGTTTATCAGTCCAAAAAGGAGGTATTTTTACGCTCACCTTACGAAGCTCTAGTGATTGCATCGTATCTTTCGTAGCAGTTTCAGAAGAGTCATTTGTTGACATTTCAAAAATTAATCAGGGTCACCACGATGTAGCCTTGGCTACTAATGTTTAAAATTAATTTATGATTAGGAACAGCATGAATTATAAACAAATAGCTAAGTTTATTGCATTTTATTTTCCAGCTATCGAAATGCGACGCTACGAGAAAGCAACGTTTTGAAACCAAAACCTAGCAATCATGAATCAGAACTAGTTGCCATTCAGCATAAAGAAATTTAAATATAAATATGAACTACTTGTTGCCATTCAGCATAAAAGAAATATAAATATGAATATTAACAAAATATTAAAGTTAATTTTATAAAATAATTAAACACATGAACAAATATATGAAATAAAAAATAATTATTTCTCATGCAATAACTGGGCCACTACAGATTCTTTGGTAGCTCCAGAATCGGAAATTCTTTTTGACATAATCGAAAGTTCAAGCTCATTTTTATAAAATTACTCCAACAGTCTGGAAAAAAATAATAAGCCAGATCCAGTTAGAAGATTAAGGAACAACGCAATTTGCAACATTAACTGAAATAGATAATTAGATAATTTTAGCTTAGCTTATACCATCAGTTATACATTAAATGTGCATGCGTAAATGTATTATGCGCATGCATAGATGCATATGCACATGCGTAAAGGTATTATGTGCATGCATTAACTCATTATGCGCTGACGCATGTGCAGAAAGTTTGTAGCTTTGAGGTCCGGATTAAAGACTTTTGACTGTATATAATTAGGTATCCATCCCAAAAATAATCTAAAGCTACTTAAATGCAGCTGTTTAGTTTCTTTTGTCTTGCAGGGAATTTTATTGGGATTGCTTCAATAGACTGGAAGCATAGTTCCCTCCAACAATTTTGTGGCTGAATATATACTCTTACACAAATTTTACCAGAAATTTCTTCCACTGCAAGTAAATCCCGTAAACACACATTTTAAAAACTGAGTTTAAAACCAAAACAAAAACAAAAACAAAAAAAAATCATGGAAACTCAGAATATGACAAAAAGACTGCATACAAAAATGCTGACTTTGCTTATTAAAGCTAAAGAATTGTTATGCCTATGGATGCCACAGTTTGAGTATTCTGAAAATTTGACAATTTCTACTATAATGACTGCACTAATACTTAAATACCATGGCAAATTTAAAAGAAATTTTTAACTATGTGTAGACACTCACAAAAATACACTACATTTATAAACATTTTGAAGCTTGTCTTTAAAAAAATGTAATTTTAAATAAAATGTTAAGGATAAGTTTATATTATCCTGTCGACCATGAAAACTGAGTACTGTCAAACTGGCTATCATCAAACCACTAAAGTTGCACCAGTTATTCCTGTTAAATTTTGAAGGAAGTGGCACATCTTTAATTAATAAACAACCGGTATTCAACACACTTCACCTTAGCTTTTTGAGATTTCTTCTATTTTGTTATACCCAATTTTATCAGGAGTCCCATCTAGACCACTATGATTAAACTTTCAGCAGGTAATTCTTCCAAGTTATTTTGCCAGCCATATTCAGATAACCCTAATATGCCCATTAATATACACCTTTTTTTAGTGGTAAGATGCTATAACATTGAAAATAATCCACTGCTTGCTGTTCTGTAGAAGGCATGACCTAAATTTTAATATCTTCTTTTTTTCAAAATAGAAAAAAAAAAAAAAAAAAAATACAGCAATAATACTTTATACCCTTGTTCATAAAAATAAAGCATGGCTTAGTATGAGAATCAATCATGGTCACATCAAAGTAAAGCGTAGATGTTATGAACGGGTTATTACACCACACTTATCCATACTGATGCTAAATCATACTATTTGGCAACAGTTTCACTGTCAACAGGATAACACATAAGTATCACAAAAAGTTGTACTTTTTTTCAGTTGGCCTTTTCAGGCCTGCATTTTAAATAACATAATAAAAATTTTCACTTTCACTTGCATTCTTTTTTGCCCACTTTTAAAGCAATTAAACATACACTGTTTCTTGTTACAATTAATCATTCTGGGTATTTTCTAGGACCGAGTTTGTAACACTTTCTTCTAGGATAGGCCATTACTATTTTATGCAAAGCATATTTATGCTTTGGCCTATTATTTACTCCGATTTCATTTTTCTTCCACTCATATAGAGCTTTCACCAACATGAAACACCCTTGCTGCAGCCCAATCTCCATTTTCTTTCGCAAACTGAATGACTCTGCATTTAAAACCCGTACCATGTTTGTTTCCTTTGGCAGGAGCCATTTTTACTACTAAATGGAAAATTTAATCAACTGTATTCTGCAAATGTGATTTACTAAATCCTCACTTCAAAATCACAGCTTCAAATGATTACAGAAAGAGAAAACATCTAACTCGTAATCCCAAAAATTCATTCGGGTCAGAAGTGCATCCCAAATTATGTCTCCCTTTTCTCAAAACCCTACAGGAACATTCTTGTGCACACCTATATTGAATACAACCCATGTTCTTTGCAGAATTATTACTCTCTCACATATATACTGTTCTCCTTATCACTTATCAGTACAGTATGGGAAAGATGTTTGAATGAATGACTTCAAAAGATAAGAATATCATACATGTATCTTTCAGGTTTCTTCATAAAGAAATGGATATGTGTTATATAGGAAATGTACCTAAAAATTAAAAAATGTAGTTCAAACTTATAGGTGCACAGTTATACAGGTTAACCCTAACATTGGTTACAGAGGGCGCTAAAATAAATAGTATTGTCCTGCACTTGCTATTACCACACCCCTTTTTTTTTTTTTTTTTTTGCTACATTTATGTGGATTATTACGTTTAGGTTAAAAACGTGAAACGTTTTTTGATTATTTTTTTCCCAATGGATATCAACATTTTCCAACTTCAAATGAAGAAGTACCGATAGAACTTTTCAGAGAGGCTGGAATTTTACCCAAAGAACACATTTGTAAAAATGGCCATGATATCAAGTTTAATAATTCAGGATTTTATTGGAGATGCAATGTCAAAAACTGGCAACAAAAGTTTGATGTCCAAACTGGTACATGGTTTGAAAACAGTCGTACTGAATTTTTAAAAGCTTAACACATTGACTGCCAGTCACTAGAGTTAGATTGATAGTTATTGCCACCCATATGGAAGTAAATTGTATCCAGATGCCAACATACTTATTATAAGAAGTATGATTTAAGAATATTAATAAAAGATAATTGTGTGATCTTTAAGTATTATTTAAGCCTTTTATTAAAGAATTTTTTTAATTACGCGCCAGTGTGTGATTGGCACTACATGTCAAAATTTTCCCCAAATGCCACATTATGCGCTGGCGCGTGAAATGTAAAAAATAAATTTAAATAAGAAAAATAAGTGACAGTATGCATTATTTTTATATCAATATGTATTACAGACAATTATACATATCATAAAGGACTTTATAACAAGAAAATTACAAAGATATTATACAGATGCATCTAAAATGTTATTTGTGTATTATCTTTGAACAATCTAAGCAGTACCCGGGAGATCCTTCACAAAATTTGCAAACATATATTGTATCTTTATGTTTCCCTTGGGAATAGCAACTTTTGCATTGCTTTCTTAGAATTTTTCCTTCTTTTTTTATTCCCCATATACTCAGCACATGTTCAGATTCAGACTGATCACACACAGGAGCACGAAGAACAGATGGCTGTTTCAGTAAACTTCGTATCACAGATAAACGGTAGTCATACAGTGATGTATTTTCATTGGAATACTTATTATAGATAAAGTGGGAATTTTTCATTATTATTTGCAAAATATGCACAAATACTTTCGGGGCCACCTAATTGTTTTTTCCTCACAAGGAATAATACTGGTCATAAATTTATTATATTGAATTACAGGTAGAGGTTTCGATTTAATTTCACCTCTTTTGTTTGTTATTTCCAACATATAATTTTTATATTTCATTGGAAATATAATTGATGTCTCTCTTATCCTGCCACTTTGTAATCATCACACCATTAGCATACTTTGCTACAGTTTGCCCTTTCTTCAGTTTTTTTTTTTTTTTTTTTTTTTTTTCTCGTTTACCTCTTTCGGAAATGTCTTTCTGTTCTTTCTGATTGTCCCAGTGCAATGCGTTTTCTTATCAGTAAGACATTTTGACAGTTCATAGCTATTACAATAATTGTCCATAAATATGCTATGTCCTACATCCAGCATTCTCACGAGTAAATTCATAACAACATTTTTTGCATGTTCTTTTCCATCAGAATCATCCAACATGCCTGTATATATCATAAATTTCAAAACCATACCACCAGGGGTTGTGATCATGTGCAACTTGATACCATATTTGTGACGTTTATTTGGTATATACTGTCTGAATATAAGCCGTCCACGCCACAATACCATCAATTCATCTAAACTAATCTCACACCCTGGGTAATATATTTCCGATACTCGGGCGTTGAACAAATTCACCATATCTCTTACTTTATGCAGTCGATCCTTTGGAAGCTCTGTATTCTGATCTGGGATTTTTGCGAAGTGCAATGCCCTCAGTAACAATAAAAACCGATTCCTGCTCATATTTTCAATAATACTCAAGTAAACCAAACAGTGAATATGTTTTCCAGAAATCTTGTATACGGTTAATTCGTATAGTTCCCATATGTATGATCAATCCCATAATCCACCAAGAGTTCCTCTTTTGTGGTGCTCTTCCAAGCACTGACGTGAGAATGTTTCTTTTTTTCCTTGCGAAAAAGTACTTTATGAACATAATCATTAGTTTCAGCAACTATTTCTTCCAAGATACCATCAGTGAAAAAATGAGGAAAGAAATCTATAGGATTGTTAACTGAAACAGGTTGGAGCAAACACTCGGATTTTATAAAAGGAAATTTTTTCATTGATGATGAATTGTTTTTCCAAATAACGTTTTCCGCCATAGTTGAATTATCCTGCTGACATGCAGCCTCTTGCACGATTCGTTCTTCATCATCATCAGAATCCAAAATATCATGGATTCCAGTCGGAGGAACGAATTCTTCGTCACTGTCATAACTAAAATCGCTCAGCCAACAAATTTGCTATTTTATCATCCGTAAGAGCCTTTTTTTATTGAACTTTTATTTTTTCGGGCCCGAAGGCCCTGCATTATCATCTCTATAACTCATACTAAAAGATTATTTTTTCAATAAAAAATAAAACAATAATTTAGAACCGCGATTATTTATACATAGTTTCTAATTTTTACTCCATGCCAATACCAGAGGAAATACCCTGCATGCAATGCCAAATGAACTGGAGAATGAATAACAAGTACAGTCAAAAGTCTTTAATCCGGACTCGTTGGGACTTCGGCGATTCCGGATTATACATCATCAGTTTAAATCTGGTAAAATGGCATCCAGAAATTATACAATTAAAAATATGAAACCGTAATTTATGAAATAAAGAGCAATTACGATCTAAAGGGTATCAAAATTTACAAAAAAAAAGCCTAATATTTATTTGTTTACTTTATTAAACATTTCTTTCAACGTGCGCATGCATAAAGCATACATTACGCATAGTCGAAATTAGAAAACTGCAACCAGAAAACTATTTTATGCGTATTTGTGATATTTATAATGACGAGGAAATTGATTTAAATCATATCGGAGTACATCGAGATGAAATACTACATTTAGTATAGAATTATAAGCTGAATAAAATAAAAACATCTGGCCTGAAGATAAGGATAGTGTTGACAGATCAACTTCCAATTCACTGCGTGCCACGACGTCCCCTCCCTCCCCCGCAGAGCAGCGTGAAATTGATAAACAGATTTCGGAATGGTTAGAGAAACAAAGGATACGCCTTTATCCATTTTTTGCAGCAATTCCACTTTTTGTTTGATGGACATCGAAACATACTTTTGCTTTGTAGATCCTTTGGCAGCTCCAGCGTCGGAAATTCTATTTGACATAATCAAAAGTTCAAGCTTACTTTTATAAAATTGCTCTAACAGTCTGCAAAAAATAATAAGTCGGATACAATTCGAAGATTAAGGAACAACGCAATCTGCAACATTAACTGAAATAGATAATTAGATAATTTGAGCTTAGGTTATACCGTCTGTTATACATTAAACGCGCATGCATAAAAGTATTATGTGCATGCGTAAATTCCTATGTGCATGCGTGAGTGCATTATGCGTTGACGCATGCGCAGAAAGTTTGTAGCTTTGAGGTCTGCTTTAAAGATCATTCCAGATTATGAATGTCCGGATTAACGACTTTTGACAGTATAGGATTTTCCCGCGCCAGCGCGTGACTGGCTGCTGAGACATCACCCACATCACGCGCTGGTGCGCAATTGGCTCCTTGCTGATAACAAAACGTCACGCACTGGCACATGATTGGCAGTCAATGTGTTAAAGATTTATTTACTTTTGGGCATATGAACAGTCATTCATTGATTTATCCGTGTTTGTTATTGATTGGAATAATTATATGTGTGAAGGGTTTGGAGGATAATCGAAATGTTAAAATTGGAGGGCCTGGAATGATTGTCGAAATTGACGAAAACCTTTTTACGCATTGAAAGAGTAAAGGTCATATCTTGCCACAACAGTGGGGCTTTGGTGGAATTTGCCGGGAGACAAAAGAAACATTTCTAGTCTGAGTTCCAGACATTAATCAGGGTTGCCACTCAAACAGGAGAATGAAATTCCCTGACTTTTCCAGGTGCATTTCAAGAAAATTCCAGTCTATCCGCGTAATGTACGTTGGCTACGCTAAGAGGTAAATTATGGTATTACTTGTATTGTGTAGCAAATTCACTTAATTATTCAATAAATCCCAGAGGACATTTATTCTTAATTATTCTTGGTATACTTTGTTTGATAATTTTGTTTACTTTTCCACTTAAGAAACTTAATAAAATTTAAGATATATACATTGGATAACAAATGTATGTTTTATTTAATTATTACTCATGATCATCACCAGTTCAACACGAGGCTAATCCGGTCCTTATAAATCACAACGCAATGCTAAATAGTTAGGTTAGATTTTAGGTAAATTTAATTTGCGTGAGGTATGTTCTTAAAAGGCATCTTAACACTTGAAAACACAAATATAATTATAATAGTTGTTGTTTTCTCCATTGAAGATTGAGATTAGAATCTTCCCAATCTGGAATAAAATAAGGCTTTTTTTGCAGACATTCTGCAGCTAAACGAAACAAAGAAATCTATTTTAATAAATTGAGGTATTTTATATTTAGTTCGCAGCATACATAAGAAAAAAATATGTGCATTAAATTTCGTGATGGTATGTCATCATACTGCTAGAATTAATTTCAAGATTATGCCAGAGAAAATTTCCTGAAATTTAGAAATATTATTTACTAATAATTAATAAATTTAGAGGGAAGAAGCATCATTAAATTATACGAATAACATAAAAATAAAGATAATTACTTAAAAACTGAATTAGAATAATCAACGATATTTTAGGCGAATATAGTTATATTACATTGGTTAGCCCTAGATGACAGATTACTATTTTTTATTTTACTGCAAATGGCAAGGTATTTATTAAAAAGAAAAGTTTAAAAAGATTTTGCGGTAAAATTCTAGTATACGGTAAGGCTTTGGGCACGATTTTTGAAAATTGTCGCCAAGACCAAAATGACCGTTTACGTTTACTGCGCATCATCATGTCGCCAAATCCATACATGGAGATTATTTTAACCAAAAAACGTCTATGCAAGAATCTCTAATTCTTTGGTCTATGTAAGAAGAAAATTTTCCATACAAGTAAAATGCTATTACGCCGCTAGAATGCGGAGGGAAAATTTGCCAAGGGATTTGGCGACGGAACCTGGCAGCCAGAATTTCCCTCTCCGCGATGTGTACCGGAAATTGAGAAACGTGTTAAGAAAGAAACGTTCTTTGACAAAAAGAAAGCTACGAAAATCCGTTTTTAAAATTATTGCGAAAAATCCAAGAAGAAACGTCCTTTGATAAAATGTTTCTTCTTGGATTTTTCGCAATAATTTTAAAAACGGATTTTCGTAGTTTTTCCCCCCCTGAAAATTACTAACCTATGAATTAATTTACTTGCGCCAAAAAATATTTTCTTTTAATTTAGAGTTTAACTACTTGCGCTAAGACTAAACTTCACGGTTGCGGTGCCGTGCGCTACAATATAGCAAGTGGTAAAGTGTCTCATTTACGCCGCTCCGCATCTGCGAGTGCAATCCAGAGCTGTAACTCGAGAAATAAACAATCTCGTTGTTAGGCGACGTGTGCACCATGTTATTTTCATTTTTGCGATAAATGCTTATCGACGTGGTGTTCACATCGCTCGCTCGCAGTTTGAGACAAAACATCTCGACGTGCGTGGCACGTCTTTTTAGCGCAAGTGGTTAAAGAAATTTTAAAGGATATTCATTTAATGAACTCTTGATAACGTGACCTTCGAATTTCGACAACCGGTTTCCAGCTTTGGCGGCAGATATATCACGCATGCACAGATGTTTCCCTCTATGATGGAACGGAGCCACGTCTGTTGCAGAGAGGTTTTCCTTCTTTACAATACATATTCTTTGATTCTAACCTCCATGGTACCGTATACTAAGATTAAACTCATTTTGTTTTATACCAGAACAGGTACTTTCTTTAGTTCATGCACTGCACATGCGATTCTCGAGAATACTGGAAACCAAAAGTTGCGGGAAACTTGCTTTGCCAATCTAAAAGGCAATCAAATTGGAGCTGCGAAAATTGGCGCTATGCCAGCAGACACTCACGTGATAGGCAATTCGCCAAAAAAGTTATCTCTTCCGACGTCGGCGCAAAAATCGCTTTTTTTGGCGGGATCATCGTATGAACTTCCCTGACTTTTCCAGATTTTGACAAAAATACTTAAATTCCCTGACTTTTCCCTGAATTTTTTGGTCAATTTTCGAATCCCGATTTTTCCCGGTTCTCCCGGTTTTCCAGGTAGCGTGGCAACCCTGATTAATGCATGAAATCCAAAATAATATTGCTGAAGGCTCAACAATAATGTCAGATTCGTGGCCTGGATATCAAACAGAGGAGCTCACTTGAGCATTTTAAGGAGAATCAACCATACAGTTTTGTTGACTCATCTACGCAGACGCATACTCAACATGTTGAAAGAATGTGGAGTCATGCCAAATGGAGGAACAAGCAACAACGTGGGACAAGCTGCCATCATTTGGATACCTGTTTAACTGAATTTATTTGGCGGAAAAAACATGAAACACCTTTCGATGCTATTTTGAAAGCTATTTCCTGCACTTTCCTCACCATTAACTTCAACGTTTTCTTTTAACCAGTTTTAAGAAAATTAATTTAAATTTTTTTAATTCATATTTAGTATACAGTTTATATATATATATATGTTTATTTATAATATATATATATATATATATTCAGGATTTTTGGTTTTTAAGTTTCTGTTCCTTTATAATTAAGGCTTTTATTTTAAATGAATTTATAAACATGAACCAACAAACGCCAATGAAGATTTTTATCGGCAAATGTTATCAAGGTTAAGTACCCAAATTTT